TCCTAAGGAGATTCCAGAAAGATGGGATCTGCATGAAAAGAAGGTATGCTGGGGGGCAGGGCTTGTGATAGAAGGTGGTCCATGGCTCTTTTTTCTTTCCTGCAAACTGTAGAGAGGCTGGGGTCCCATAAATTGAAGGATGTTAAAGCAGGCAATTTCTCCCATGCTTGGAATGTACTTTAAAGGTAGAGAGAGTGGAAAGTAATAGTTCAAGATTTCCTCCGGAAAGGAAATCTGGGAACCAAACCCTTCCTTGGAACAAAAACAAGAAAATCACAATGTACATGTAAGTGTATTTTTCTTGGACATATTCATAACCTGTAGATACGGCAGTAGATTGCACTAATCAGGGACTGTTAGGTATCTCTAATTAACCTCAGACTTTCACCCAGGCCAAGTAGGCCTCTTTAGACCTCACCCTGTGCTGATTGGCTCCTCTGCCCCCAGGCCAGCTTAGCCAAAGCTTCTCAGCTCCAGAGAGGAGATGCCCAGAAATGTCCAAGTCACCACTTCTTGTGGCTAGGCCGTATTTTAGGTACTACCAATGCTCATCAAAGAGAAGGAAAAACAGCTGAAAGACAAGCTGGTCTTACAACAGGGTTTCTCAGGCATAGGTGTGCATAGGAACCTATGCATAGGTGTGCATAGGAACCTGGGGATGCCACAGGGCAGGGCCTGAGATTCTGCATTTCCCACAAACTCCCAGGTGATGCCAATGTTGCTCAACTGTGGATCACACTTTGAGAAGCATTGGTCTAGAGGTGGTCAGAGGAACAGCCAGGAGCTGGGAAGGTACCTAGAAAGAATCAGCTACTGACAATTCCTGAGCTCCATTTATTCATTGTATTTGTTGCATCTGCACTGGAAAATGGACCTATGTGGTCTATAGTTTTAGAGACTGGAAGACTTAAAATAAAGAGAAAGAGATAAGAAATAAGATAGCAGTTTAGAAACCTCCAAGGTCTAGTACTGAAAGCAGCATATTGAAGATAAGGAAATAGATAAGGCATCTATGTTCATTTTCTATTGCTGTGTAACAAATTGCCACAAACTTAGTGGCAAAAAAAAAAAAAAAACAATAACAACAACAACAACAACAACAACAAACACTTATTATCTCACAGTTCTGTAGGTTAGCTGGATCCTCTGCCCAGGGTCTCTTCAGGCTGAAATTAAGATGCCAGCCAGGCTTCAGTTCTCCTCTGAGGCTTGGTTCCTCTTACAAGATCATTCAGATTGGCAGAATTCACTTCTCTCAGTTGTAGGATTGAAGTCCTTGCTTTCTTAGCAGCTGTTATCTGGGAACCACTCAGATCCTAATGGTCATCTTGCCACATGGCTGCCTTTTGCCGTGTAACATAATATAATCATGGGAGTGATATTCTCTCTTCAAAGGGTGTGGGTCATTTAGGACCATTTTATAATTCTGCCAACCACAGCATCCTAGGATTCCACACTTTGCATTAGAGATGTTTCAACGTAAGTGTAATTTCTTCATTTATTCTCATCAGCTTTAAATCATCCTGAGATGGTGGTGGTAGTAGTGGTAGCTTCCATCCTTTGAGCATCAATTTTGTACCAGCACTTTCCTAGGTACTTTACATATTTCTAGCTTATTTAACCCTATCAATAATCCTTAATAATCTATATAAGAAGTCCCCAACCCCTGGGCCGCGGATTGGTACTGGTCCGTGGCCTGTTAGGAACCAGGCCACACAGCAGGAGGTGAGCAGTAGGCGAGTGAGCAAAGCTTCATCTGTATTTGCAACCACTCCCCAGTGCTAGCATCATCAGGCATTAGATTCTCACAGGAGCACCAGTGGTGCCAAAAAGGTTGGGGACCACTGACCATGTCATTAAAGATATCTATCTTTCGTAGATGAGGAAACTGAGACTTAGAAAGTTTAAGTAACTTAATCTAGGTCACACAGTTTAGTGATTCAGTGACATTTGATAGAATGGATTGAGTCCTAGACTGGACCAACTGAGTGACCATTAGTTTTCTCACCTAGAAGTGGAGAGGTAAAACCAGGAGATATCTTGAGGTTTCTTCCAGTTTTGACATTTATGCTGTGAAAACTACAATGTTAATATTTCCAGTAATTTCTCCATTTCAGATCCAAGGCAGAGCAACATTTCTAGCTGTATAAACGATAGAAGTGAAAAAGCTTCTGCAAGATGGTTCGCATCATAAAGGAGACTCATACCTGAGTTCTCACTCTTCTCTGTTTCTGCTCTCACCTGCCTATGTTCAATAGCTTTGCAAAAACTAAAAGCTAGTCCCCAACTCGTTCCCCATCTCCAAATTCTCTAATCATAGCTTCTGGTATAAGGCACCAACATCCCAGCATGAAGTCTAAATGTAGTAATTTGTGAGATTTCAGTCATGGTATGTTCTGTAACAGTATACAAATTACGAACTTTTCAACCAAACAAAACAAACAAAAAAAAGAAACAAGGAAAAGCGATCAGTGCCATCTTGTGGATAGACTTTTATTAAAATGTCCAAGATAATCTGGCCACACCTCAGATCACATCAAAGCCTCTACACTCCACACTGATATGAATCCAATAGACAGCAGAATAGCTTCATTATTTGTTTACAGGTAATGCTGGTGCTGATTGGCAGAAGGTTCATCTTGCTTCTTGAGCCATGGCCAGTTATTAAATAATTTGTATATCATCCTTAACTATACGCCCATGCTTCCAATACCACACACAAACAACACCCACAGCCAAATTGTTCTGTTTGGTTCCTCTACGCAGCACGTTTCTCTAAATGTGGAAAATTTGTGTTGACCTTTCACAACACCCCATCCCCAGCAAACACATGCACACTTAGACCACAATTGATTATAGCATAACTTTTTTCTTTTAAAAATAAACTTAATTTTATTTCACTTCTTGAGTTTATTATAAATTATTTCTCTTCTTTCATTCTATCTGAATATTCCCATCTGTATTAATTATCTATGACTACATTAAAAATCTCCCCAAAATTCAATGGCTCAAAATAATATTATCTCACAGTCTCTGTGGGTAAGAAATTCAAGAAAGACTTAGTTGGGTAGTTCTGGCTCAAGAAATCCATGAGGTTATTGTGAGGTATTGGGCAGGTCATCTTGATGGGGCCAGAGGATCTACTTCCAAAATAGCTAGCTCCCTCACATGATGTTGGTATGAAGCCTCAGTTCCTCACTACGTGGATCTCCCCATAAGGCTCTCTGAGTGTCCTTACAACATGGAACCTGGCTTCGTTTAAGTCAGAGCAAGGCAAAAACGAAAGTGTTTTTTATGACTTAACCTAAGAAGTCACACACTGATATTTCCACAATATCCTACTGGTTATAAAAACCATCCCTACCACTGTGGAAAAGGGCTATACAAGGCATGAGATGGGTCGTTGGGGGCCATTTTAGAGGCGACTTCCACACCGTCCCTTCCTAAATCCAGTTTCTACATCAGGTCCCAAATGTGAAATGTGTTATGTAAAAGAAGATCAGCACATTTAAGACATTGAGAATTCTGACTGCAGTCCAAAGGTCACAGGAACACAAACCCAGGTAATCCTTTGCCTTAGTGGGACACAGGGACCTGCTTAGAGGAAGGAATTCTCTGACTCTGGCTTCACTTCTAACTGCCACTGGCATGCAACCCCTCAGGGGTCCAAAATAGATCATGAAATTAGTGCCCTTGACAATGGGACACAGTTAAAGGCAGGTACCCTGGTCCCAGGGTATACTGAGAGGGGTAGAGCGGTAGAGATAGGGAGGAATTCCTACAAAGGGAGCCAACCGGCCTTTCCAGAAGGCCCAAGAGGGTAGAAGGAATCACTTCTACCCCTACAGAGAACCACCCATGGGGGGGAATCACTGGGGCCTCATATGAAAAGGGGATCTCTGTATCACCCAGAAATGTCTTCCCTCTGGAGAAGATGGGCTGTGACCTGGTTCTCAAGGAGGCAAGGAAGGGACATAAGATGATGGGGAAAGATGTGGGAAGTTTCCCCCTGATAAGTGGAAGGTGTAAAGAAAGGAGAACAAAGCAAAGAGACTGAGAAAAACTCAATGTGAAAAGAGCAAGTGCGGGACTCTTGTCTACAGAGGCAGTGCAGCCAAAACCCTTGGGGGTGGGAGTACTGGTGGCTGAAAGGCACAGCAGAGAAAAAGGGAAAGGAATGAATTGATATGGGCTAGAAAGATTGATAGAGAGCTGTGTGGGAAATGAGAGCATAAACCAGAAGGGCTTAATCAGGCCTGTGATTGCACAGAAAGAGGAAAGGGTAGATTTGGCAACTCCTGGAACCTGGGGAGAGCAGGTGGAGGCAATGCTTCAGAGTTGTCTGGGTAAATGGTAAGTGCATTTTCCACAGGGTAAGAGCAGCCTTTAAACTTTAAGAGAAGAGAAATTCCTTTTCATTTTGCTGGAATCAGAGCTTTAAATGGTCAAATGTGTGTCAGCAGTAAGTGGGGACAGAGGGAGGGAAGTACATCCTCATGGCTAAGCGCCCTGGGCTTGGAAAGAGAAAAACCTTGGCTCAACCAGTCCAGCTACTTACTAGTTCTGTGTCCTTGGCCACGTTAACCAACTTCTCTAAGCTTCAGATTACTCATGTACAAAGGGGATATAAAAATATTTTCCACATGTGGTTCTTCCAGAAAGCACTTGGCACAGTGCCTGGTACAAAGCAAATTCATTAGAGTTAATTGTTTCCATAATTATAATGAGTACGCATCACTAGAAACACATTGTTCAAATAAGGATATGGACCAGACGGATCACAGCTAAGACATTGTATTCAAATCTAAGTCCCACCTCCTATGAACAACACTAATAAACTCTAGCCTCCCCCAAGGGAAGGTGACTCAGAGAGCCTGGAAATTATGAAATATGAAGAGAAATTAAGAAATCCTTCAACCTTTAACCAAGATGATACTTGGGGACATAAGGATGGTTATGTGAACTTTCCATCTAACTTTGGAAAACAATGCTGTGTTGTTAAAGATTGCAGAGCCAGGCTGCTTGGTTTCAAATTCCCAGGGCATCAGTCATCCTTGGTCAAGTTCCTAAACCTCTCCGAAGCTTCAATTTTTTCATCTGTAGAGTTAATTAGATTACTTACCTCATAAGATTATTGTGACAATTAAATTAGTTAATACATGTAAAATGCTTAGAATAATACCTGGCACATAGTAAATGCTCAATTTGTTAGTTTTTTGTCAGTCTGTTAATTTCAGGGTACCAGATGGCAGCCTAGTATTTTTAATAATGCCAGCAATGGAAAATGAGAACAGTCCCTTGTACAGTGATTCCCTCGTACTAGACGAGGTCAGAAAGTCACTGATAGTCACTAGTCGCAGTCATTGTAGAGGAGATTCTTCACCCAAGGCGGAAGTAGATCTGCCATCTCCTAGCCCCTCGGGCATCCACTGTGAAGCAAGTAAGAGTAAGCCAAGGGCTTGGGCGGCACGGATGCAATTACTCCCACCGACAGCCAAGGAGCAGTAGAGCACGACCCCGGGTGGCTTTATCTACAGAAAACAATTCTTAATTCCTTGTAGGTTTTCCTTCTTGGCTGTTTGCGTAGCTCCAAACTTCATGCGTCCCGCTGCCGTAATCCCGCCCATTATTGACTATCCAACAAATCAACGAGCGTCCAGGTAGCTGGGGTCGGATCCGTGCTCTTCTAGGTCATTCAAAGCCCGGCGTTCTATGCCCGCCCCCAAGCGGCTGGGCCAATCTGCGCGGCGGAGAGTGACGTCGCCCGGAACGCTGTCCCGGAGACTGCGCGGTCCGGGTAGGGACCAGTGCTGGGTTGGTGGGGATTACCCGGCCAGGGCGGGCGAGCGGACAAGTGGCTGGAGCTGTTCCTGAGCCCTCCCCCAGCCATGGACGTGCAGCCCCCCAACTTCTCCTGGGTGCTCCCGGGCCGGCTGGCTGGGCTGGCGCTGCCCCGGCTCCCCGCCCATTACCAGTTTCTGCTGGACCAGGGCGTGCGGCACCTCGTGTCTCTAACGGAGCGCGGGCCCCCGCACAACGACAGCTGCCCCGGCCTCACCCTTCACAGACTGCGCATCCCGGACTTCTGCCCGCCAGCCCCCGAGCAGATTGACCGCTTCGTGCAGATCGTGGACGAGGCCAACGCCCGGGGAGAGGTTAGTGGGCGGAGTCAGCGTAGGGAAGAAGGGGCTTGGGAGGGGTCAGCGGGGACACGCACGGAGAGGGGGAAGTCAGGGCCAGGAATACAGGGCTGGGAGAGAGATTCGGGGAAGACCGTGGGGCCAGGAGACTACAGGTGCACCTGGGACGTAAAGCCTAGGGGAGAGGGCGGGGCGGGAGGAGTAAAGAGGGCTGAGCAGCGTAAACTGGGCTTGTGGAGAGGAAAGAAGAGTCAGCTCACGTGGAGTGTGGAGGAGAAAGGGTGGACAAACTTGGGAGAGTTGGTCGAAGTCAGAGGCTATTGAGCAGTCTCCACAGCAGTGCTCCGTCCAAATATAATGGAGCCATATGTAATTTTTAAAGTTTCTAGTAGCCACATTTTAAAAGGTAAAAAAGAAGCAGGAGAAATTCATTTTGATAATATAATTTAACCCCGTAAGTCAAAAATATTACCACTGCAACATATAACCAATATAAAATACTTAGTGAGATATTTTCATTGCTTTTTGTACATCTTCACAACTTGGTTGCGTTTTACATCACATCTCCATTTGGATTAGCAGCATTTCAGGTACTCAGTAGCCACATGTGGCCAGTGGCTTCAACACTAGAGAGTGCAGGTGGATGGTTGTAGAGAAGCAGGCCAGGAGCCCAGCGCTTGAACTAGCCCCTTTGCTGGTAATTGGTGGCCTGCAAGCCACCAGGTATGGGATAGCCTTCCCTGACTTCGATGTCACTTCTTGCCCCTGAGAGCCTGAGACATGTGCAGTCCTTGGTCTGACCCAGAAGCAGCAGCTGTAGGGAGGAGATCGACCCAGCTGAGAGGCAGAAGAGTGTTGGGACAGCATCAGGCTCCACTCCAACCTCCCCCTTCACAGGCCGTGGGAGTGCACTGTGCCCTGGGCTTCGGTCGCACTGGCACCATGCTGGCCTGTTACCTGGTGAAGGAAAGGGGCCTGGCTGCAGGAGATGCCATCGCTGAAATCCGGCACCTTCGACCCGGCTCAATCGAGACACATGAGCAGGAGAAAGCAGTCTTCCAGTTCTACCAGCGAACTAAATAAGGAGCCTCAGCAACCTTCTGTCAGACCCCCACAGCCCTGACCAGTGTTAGATGGGGCCAGAGACGTGGAAGTGGGCTGAAGCCTCCAGGTCCTAGCTGGCTCAAGGGACTGAAGTCTCCCTTCTTTGCAGGCAGGTTGTGATTGATGGGATGGCTGGAGCTGCATTGGTGTGGGGTCCCTCTGCTGCTTCCTTGAATAAATAACTTATAAGAACCAGTTCATGTTGCATAGCACTATACAGTTTACAAAGCATTCCCACATATCTACACATTTGAGCCTTACAGTAACCCTGTGATATAGGAAAGGCACTTTAGATGAAGTGGCTAAAGCTCAGAGAGACTCAAGGTCACACTTTGAGAAAGTGAAAGGATTGGCCAGGAATACAACACACATCTCTAGCCTGTTAAAGATGCTGAAACTCTATCTGTTCTCTGACATTCGACGTGTCTTCTAGAGAGCTGGTTAGTGAAAAGCCCAGGGTCTCTAATGCTTACAGGCCTGGAGAGGCCATGTGGATGCAGCCTCTCTGTCTAGGCCCATGTGCCCCACGTGTGTCATTCCCTTAGCCCTCTCAGGACAGAAGGCTTGGATGTTGTGCTCACAGATAACCACCATCCTCTTCTCCCAAGGTCTGTCTGTGTGCCTGTCACTAGCCTCGAGGTGCTCAGCTCACCCGTGACACTCAGCCCATTGTGCTACACCACCACCTCAGGCCAAGGAATGTTCAAACTGAGCCAGTCTGGGTGGTTATACAGAAAATAGTGATTAAATGAAGAGATTTAGAGCTATAAATCATGGCCATGTTTCTCAGACATTTACCTTCACTTAACCCATTGGATCCCATTCTACCAGCACCACCACCACCCTTTCGGCTTTGAGAGAGAAGATGGATAAGCCAGCCAAGTAGACTCTTTTTGCTGTAACTTCTGCCTGAATTCCTGTCCTCTCTTCTGCTGTAGCAGGCCATGCTGGATAAGGTAGAAATCCATTATGAAATATGTGCTGAGTGCCTATGTGTACTAGGCTTTGTTAGATGCAAAGGGTACCCAGCTGAATGAGACATGATTCACAGCCTCCTGGATAAGGCAGGCACAGAGTCCAACGGCATATAATGGGAACTATCACAAATATGCATTCCAAATGCAGTGGAGACGTGGAGGAGGCTAGGGTCCCCTTGTGGCCACTTGCTCCTCACATCTTTCTCCCTTCCACTGCCACCCACTTAACTCAATCCCCATCCAACTCTCTCACACAAAAGGTATTTTAGCCAGAGTCTTGCCAAACTAGGAGCAGGAGGGAGGCTGTAAGATGCAGCCCCGCCATTTCCTCTGTGTGTCAAATCCAAGTAATCAGTTCCTTCATTCTCCTCCTTTGGTTCCCACTCAGCCTACCCAGGTGAGGACATCTCCCAAAAAGAAGAACCCACAATTCCTAGCATTCAGGCTACAATGGAAGAGTGAGAACACATAGAGAGGATGCATTCAAACCCTCACACTCTTCGTTAGCAGAATTTCCTCCACCCTGCCCACCTGCGTCTCCCTCAACAGCATGGCCCATTGTTTCTTGATGCAAACCAGAGTATCTTCCAAAGGGATGTGTGAGTGAGTGAGTGAGTGAGTGAGTGAGTGAGTGTGTGTGTGTATGTTTTCACATGAAGGCAGGAAGAGTATAAATGGCCCGCATCATGGATCCCTGCCCACTGCTTACCAGGATGGGAAGACAGGGATGGGAGGCTTAAAGCTGCACCCCCAGAGTTCATGTCTCTGCTCTGATCCTGACAAGCTGGGGTTGTACAACTGATCTTCATGCCTTCTGCCCTTCTTTCCTACCTTGCTCCATCTTCCCCACATCATCTGCACTACAAGAAAGGAATCTGCCCTTTCCTTCCTTCTGAAGCTCCTTCAAAGAAGACTGAAAAATTTTCTAACTCTATTAAAGCTCTGTGTGCCTCCGTCTCCATAATTTAAGCAGGTCTCTTCTACCTCGAGTTCCTCAGGGAAATATATAATTATGTGCTTAAGGAAATTGGTTTTTAAATAAGAGTTGGAATGAAAAGCTCTGCCCTTATCCTTCCATCTACTTTGGGAGGTTAGTCTGAGGTTCCCCTTGGGCTCATTCCCATGCCTCAAGTTTTTGCTTTCTCACCATCTCTTCTGTGTATGGCCACCAATGAGAGATTACAGACTAGCCATGACCCTTCCCAATTCTACCCTACACTGAGATAATAGGTGCAAGGAACAAGCCACTCCATCAACAAAGAGCCTTCACTCACATCAGACCATGGTTTCTCAAGCTTGGCACTGCTGGCATTTGGGGCTGGACACTTCTTTGTTGTGGGGCAGTGTCCTGTGCAACGTAGGGTGCTTCAGCATCCTGGACCTTTACCCACCAGATGCCAGTAGAATGCCACCCCCCCCAAAAAAGTGATAACCAAATATGTCTCCACACATTGCCAAATGTCCCGAGAGGACAAAATCATCCCCATTTGAGAACCACTGCATCACACCAGCAAGATGTAACCACAGGCTTTTGTTTCCTACAGGAGTAGAGGTGGGAACATTCTTGGGAATTTCTCTTTTGGATACACATAACTTGATAGGGAAGAAGGGGCCAACTTAAACACCCTCAAACACTGTTACCTTCTTAGCAATGTCTGGCACCCATCCCCAGTCCCTCCCCCTTCCCAGGTTTCCAGGACAGGGATAGACATCATTAACTTTCCATACTTAGGAGTGCTTTATTCTCAATGAGTTGCTGGTGGACGTAGCTGCAGTAACACTGACTCCCATCCTCATGTTTTAAAAGTTCCGTTCATGTTTATTCTCTGGCATGTGATCCGAATTCCCTGCTGAAGGGAGGCTTTTCTATGTAAGAAATATCCTTTCATGTCATTTGGGTTCTATACCCGTTAACCTCCTGTGTTCCTCTCCTAGAGAATTGTTCTGATGCAGAAGCAAGTAGAGTCAGGACGGGAGGGGCACCAACCACACCGTTCCTCCCTGGCTTGGCTCTTCCACTTCCACTTCACTGCAGCTCCCTTTTTGCCCCAACTGGGGTCCTATTCTCTGAGTCCTAGGGCTCACGACTGCTTCCAAGACCATGTGACACAGCACACAGCTTCCTGCTGCAGAGACAGGTCTGCATCCTGCAATAGGCACTGTGGTGGCTCATGCCTTTCTTGGAGCTGTGCCTCATTGTCATCCTCACAGCCATTCATGACGTGTAGAGACCCCATCACATAGGACGTCTCATCATCGATCCTCCTCTGGCTATGGAGGTCTGCCCCCCATTACCTCCCAGATAAGGTCTTCCCAGGGCAACAATGTGCATGTCACCTGGGGAGAGACTTGATCCAAACCATAAACTATTTCCCAGAATGAACTGTACTCATCTGCCAAGCCTCAAATCAAACCTTATGCTGTCTGTATCTTGCCACTCTTTATAAGAAAGAAACTAATTTGGTCTCAGGATTGTTTGTCACAAAGAAAATATCAGTTATCACTAATGCGTTTCACATTTTGTCATGACTGCACTTTGCTTATTTATATGATTATAATTGTCAAATTAAGAAGTACCTACCCTATAGCAGGTGTTTACATACATTACATTGTATCATTTTATCCTTACAACCACTCTAAAAATCAGGTATTTTCCCCGTTTTACAGATGAAGGTACTGAGGTTTAGAGATAACTAACTGGCCCAATGAAGGAACTGGGATCAAACCCATGTGGTAACTCCACACTCATGCTCCTTCGACCAGACTTCCCACCTGCCAAGACGCACCTCTGGTTCCAGGTACATGGGGGAGTCTGTCTTCATTCTCAGAGCTTAGCCTTGAGAGCCATCCCATCAGCTCATCAGCTCAGCATCTGTGTCCACTGTCTTCATCATCTCAGGCCAGAAGACAACCTGCACCTGACACGGAAGCCAACGGCACTTGAGTCATGGGCTACTCTTCCAAATGCAGGCCCGGCAATTAGTCCAAAATAGTAAAGCTGATTCATCAGGCCATTTCTGCCACAGCCACTGTTATCTCACTCAGAGCATGTGGGTGTCCTCACCTGGCATGACAATCTTGAGGCATGTGTGACTGGCAATGAGACCTCAAAAATGTCTTTTTATGTCTGATGATTTATTAAAAACCCTGATGTCCTTGCTTGTTTTATTGTTATTTGAGCCCCCAATGCATGTCAGGCACTATGCCAAGTGCTTTATAGACATTATTTCATTTAGTCTTCAAAAAAACCCTATGAACAAGGTCTTATTATAATGACCAGATGAGTAAACTGAGGCCCAGAGAATTTAACATGCCTAGAGTCGCATGGCTAGAACAGGATTCAAACTTAAAGTTTGTCTACTGATAAACTAGAGAAGAGAAGAGACTTTGTTGTAATTAGAAAATATGCAACAGCATCTGTGTTCCCCAGAATCGCAGCACTGGACACACAGGGGTCAGCAGAGTCTGTGACTGCGCGGCTGCCCCAGGCTGCTGCCCCAGGGTTTGGCAGCACAGCCCTGACTTGGCAGTGTTGGGCTGTAGCATAGTCATCAACCCTAACAGGCTTCTGCCTCCAGCCTCCTACACCATCAAAAAACACAGTCCCCTGTTGATTTAGAAATAAGTTACATAAGCACTTCTTCCATTACTTTAAAATCCTTCTCTGGCTATTATGGATTCAAGGCACACTCTTAAGAAGGCAGCATGCTTGTCCAGAGAAGCAGAAATTTAAGAAACACTTTGGTGCACATCCATACCTGAAGTCAATGACTTATTTGCAACCTTGATAACTTAGTCCTTTGTGCCACTAAATTGCCTCAACCACTTTCTTGCCCTACTTTTTCCTTCAGTTATTCTGTTGCCATGGATATGTGATCATGAAACAAATTGGTGATGTCACCTCTGAGTTTACAATATGTGGGGTTCAGTATGGCAAACATTTCTGGGATTTTCCCCCCTAGCTTTTATGAGGAACACACCATCGTTTCTTTACCAATGTATATTGAGTAGCAACTCTGCTCCAAACCCAAGGTGGGAAATATGGAAAGTAATTAGTGTAGACTTCACCTCAATAGGTTTTATGTGCCCTTAGGCTCCCCCAGCCCCACTCCAAGCAAATTCGCTGATTTGCATGTTTTGTGTAGGTACCTTTTGTGAGATCTAATCAGAGCTGGGTGCAGCCTAGGGCCATGGGATGGAATTAAATAAAGTAACCAC